AGGCAATGTAGGGATGCGAGCCTCATTCATAGGGTGGCTTCTTCAATCGAATGTGAGAAAAGGTTTGAAAAATCCAAGAGAGAGAGGAAACAACATGCGTTTGTGTGGAGGAGAAAAGGGATGTGGAGTGGAAGAAAGAAAAAGGAGAAGGGAAAGGAGAGAAAGGACTTCTAGGCAAGGGAAGGGAAAGCTGGGGCTTGTCACCGTAACTGCTCACCCTCACTGCCTCTTAGCTGGACCCCTGGTGCAGGGGGACCTCTGGCCACTGTCATACTAGCTTCAGCCACTCTGGTCAGTGCAGTGAAGAGGTCAGCCTGTCTGGACTCCTCTCTTCCCAGCAGCATGGCTGTTTAGAGGGGTCTGCTTGCTTATGTGTCTAAGGTAAGGGTCTTCACACAGTGTTTGTAAAGGACCAAAAACCCAACCCAAACTCACACCCTTGAGTCTCTTCTGACTTGGAGCAACCCTGCACCACAGAGTACAACTACACGCTAGGATTCTCAACACGTAAGTATTTGCATATGCAGACAGTCTCATCTGTTCTCCCTCCGGGTGCCTGGTGGTTTTGAACAGCTGACCTTATAGTTAGCAGCCCAATGCTTAGCCACTGTGCCACCAGGGCTCATGGAAAAGATGTTATTAAGTGCCAGGCAGTTGGTTCAAACTCATAGCGGCCTTGCGTAGGGTTTCCATATAGCAGCTGGTGACTTTGAACCGCCGACCTTGTGATTAGCAGCCCAGTGCTGATCCCCCAGCGCCACCCCAGGACTCTGTAAAGGACTGTTGTTGTTGTTAACTGCCGTTGAGTCAATTCCAACCCATAGCGACCCTCTATAGGGTTTCCAAGGAGCGGCTGGTGAGCTTGAACCACAAATCTTGCAGGTCAAATGACTTTGCAGTCTTGCGCATTAACCCACAGCGCCACCCCAGGACTCTGTAAAGGACTGGTTTGTGGTTGTGGTTATGTGCCATGGAGTTAGTTCCAACCCATAGCGACCCGGTACAGGGTTCCTAGGCTGTAAATCTTTACGGGAACAGAAAGTCTCAACTTTCTCCCACGTAACAGCTGGCAGTTTCGAACTGCTGACCTTGCGGTTCGCAGCCTGATTCGTAACCACTACGCTACCAGAGCTCCTTTGTAAAGGACTAGACGATGCTATATTTGGGTTCTCAGGCCGTCGGAATAACTAACTGCTCATTCGCCTTTGAAGTGTGAAAGCAGCCATGGACTATACAAGTCCAGGAGAATGACTGGGTGCCAATAAAACATTGTAGAGAAAGAAATGAGAACTTCCTACAATTTTTACATCTCAAAATAGTATTTCTTTGTCTCCATTCCCCACAGTTATTTAATAATGTCAGACCCCTCTAAGCTCTCACAGGGCAGCCCTTGTTGGCTGACCCCTGGTCTACAGAAAGCAAGAGCACCGACAGAGGGTTCCATGTGGGTCCCATGAAGTGTCCTGGGCTCCTTTCCCTTCCAGACCAGCCCTTCCACCTGAGATGGGTCGGATGGGCCCTGACTTCACGCCCTACACTCCCCGGACCCCACAGGAGAAACAGGAAGCCAGTGCTACTGTCTGGAGGACAACTTCTGGGTCAACCAAGGATGACCCCTAGCGTCTTCACCAAGCTCCTGCTCCCTTGCATGCCCGGGAAGGCGCATGCGGAAAAGTCTGATCTCCCTACCTTTTTTAGGTGGCTTTCCCGTAGAGTGACTTTGTGTTTCTGCTAGGATTTTGCTGGTTTTAGAGTGAATTTTAGACACCTTGACAAAACCTCTTCCTTCTGGACTACAGAGCGGAAGGTGTCTTGCCCCCATCGGTAGAGGACTCACAAACCTGGGGAACCTGCGTCCATCCTGCGCTCCGCTGCCCAGAGCTCAGAGACACATACACAGGCCAGGCGTCTGAAGGGCCTGGTCAGTTTCACAGATGGCAAATGCAGGGAAACAGACGGAGGCTTTAGCAACAGAGGCCTTTAGGAAAGGCTTGCATTTGCCATCCAGACGGTGTTATAATGGAGAAACAGCTGGGCAGGGTCCCTAGGCTCCATTTCTGGTCTCCCCACTGCCACTCCGAGCAGACGAGTCTTCCTGGATGGCCCTCCACCCCTAAAACCAGCAGTAGACACAGGCCCCTTGTGCTGCTCTTTCTGGTGATTCCGTAGCGCGGCCAAGCAGGAAAGGAAGGTCTGGTGGACTGGGTCACGGGCCACAGCCTTGTCCCTGCCACTTGCTTCAGTGGGTACAGCCTGTGTGCAGGTTGGCGCCCACATCCTGGGATTCCCCCAGTACTGACCCATTCCCATAGGCGGGGTTGCAAAGAATCCTCAACCGTCTCCACTTAGCTCTGGTCACTCTCCCTCAAAGTCATCCTGAGAGAAAAATGGCCCTTCCCGACCCTCCACACATGGCTTAGAACCTGTGAAAAGAGATCTACAAGGGAATCCTTCTCTTCAGACCCTTTAAGTTAACTGCACTGGGAGGACATTCTAGAATGGGAAGACCTCTCCAGTAGGAGATACCCCGGAAATAGGAGGAGCAGAGGTGAGGCGCTGTATGGCAGGGAGCTCCTTGTCCAGCGTGGACATGGAAGATGGTGCAGGCCCACCCTCCTCATTTACCTCCTTGCTTGGTGCAGGCGCCCAGCAGGTTGACTACGTTCAGATGGTGACCAATGTGGGTCAAGATCTTGAGCTCAGTCATCAGAGCTTTGTACTCGTTGGCAGTGGCCCCCTCTGTGTGAGAAGCAAGGAAGAATCAGTGAGGCAGGACAATGGGGCTCCTTCCGCCACCGGAAGCCGCACTCCTGCCGTTCTTGTTGCTTGGTGAACGTCACCACATTCACCAGAGAGGCCGAGACGCCAGACTGTTTTCATTCTCCCACCCTCCTAAGCCAACATCCTTTTGATTACAGTCAGGTTCAGAGCAATGGTGGAGTTACTCACTGGACGTTTCCTTTTAGTGGGCCTCGTCCTGTTCAGCAATGTGCTGACTCAGAGCCGGCCCCTTTGTGAACGTGCTTTCCAGAGTCATCCCTCCTGTCAAAATCCAGGGCAGCAGGGCTGTCCAGCAGAGGGCGCCCCAAACCTTCTCTCTCTCTGTGGCTCTCTGTTTCTCTGTCTGTTTCTGTCTTCCCCCTCCCGTCTTGGTTGTTGTTGTTATGTGCCGTGGAGTCGGTTCCGACTCATAGTGATCCTGTACAGGGTTTCTGAGGCTGTAAATCTTTACGGGAGCAGAAAGCCTCACCTTTCTCCCATGGAACAGCTGGTAGTTTCCAACTGCTGACCCTAAGTTTAGCATCCCGAGTCATAACCACTACCCTGCCAGAGCTCCTTTAGGGTCACAAAAAATGAGCACCAGGAGCCTGCCAGGGTTGGGTGGTCACTCCTATAAACATCTTTGCAATGTACCATTTTCTCCCTGTGACCTCTTCTTCCCAAGAGTCCAAGGGTTATCTGACACTGACAGTGTCCACAGGCATCTGACCTCAACCCCATTCTCAGAGACCAGCAACATCATCAGCCTAAGAACTCACAGACAGAATCTAAAGTTTGTTCTTATGAGTTAGCTTCTAAATCATTACAATTTGTGCTAGAGTACAGGCAGAATGGAATGACTGAGGAAACTGACACATGAACATGTCACTAATGTCACTGAATAATCTGTAGACATTGTTTCACAAAAACAAAATCTGCTGTGTTATCGTTCATCTTAAACACAAGAGTATTTAGAAAAAGAAAAGAAAAAATATCATTTTAGATTGTAACAGAAATAGAATCCCTATGAGGGGGCTTCAAAAAGTTCGTGGAGAAAAGGAATGCAAAGATAATAGAATTTTTCTAGGAATTTTTTTGAAGCCTCCTCTTATAATCCTGCTGTAAAAGATTCCAAATATATTATTAAAAGTTGAAAGAAAGAAAGAAAGAAAGAAAGAAAGAAAGAAAGAAAGAAAGAAAACAAACAGTCAAAACTTCTTCAATCCCTTACCTACCGTCTTGGAAGTAACACTGCTATTTTAGAGAGCTTTTTCTAGGAATTTATAAACACATAAACAATCAGAGGTCCTTTTTGTTTGTTTGTTTACATAAATGAGGTGGCTTCAAATTTTTGTGAAAAAATGGAATGAAAGAGGTTTGAATTTTTTACAAACACACATGTATGTGATACGTAACATATGTGACACACATACTATGTAGGTATGTATGTTTGTGGATGTGTATGTATTTTGTAAAACTTGCTTCCCCCCGTACCAGAGATGGTTTTATTCTATGAAATTGATGAACGTCATACCTGACATTCAAGTTGTCTACACTTTTTTGCTATTCCAAATAATACTACTATAAGAGACAACCTGTGTTTAGTCTCGGTGCACACACGTGCAAATATTTCTGTCGGACTGAGTTCTGGGAATAGACCAGTGGTATGTACACTTAACCTTTCGATACATGCCAACCGGGTATTTCCTAAGCACAAATCACTTTTTCAGTAACTACCAGATCAACTCCAGAAGTTTTCTGCCAGGATAGGGGGTTGGCTCACAACAAACACTCAACAGATATTTACTGGATAAATAAACACTATGATTACTAATCTCTTTCCAGACGTGGTTGTGAGGCCCAAGTTCTGAGTTTTCACTCCAGGGCACTTTGAAAGAGCTTCTGACCCATGACCTTCGTTTGCTCTGAAACTGATAGCCAACCAATTGAAATGAGAAAGCAGAATGAAAATGGTTTTTGAGGAATTTTCTATAGTGGATGATGTGGCTGTCTTTTTCAGTCTAAGTTAATGGCTTTCAACAAGAAGAAGAAGAAAAGAAAGACATTTATAAAGCACCACACCAATTAGTCCAGTGTAACATAAAATCAGTTCTCCGGGCCTTCAAAAAAGAAAAAAAATCAACTTCCCTTCAAAGTCATCAGTCCCTGCAAGTAGATATATTCCTTAACCATGAAAAACCCAGGCTGTGTGAGTCAGATTGGTCTGTGTGTAGGCAGGGCTGCGGGATCTATCTGGACTTGTCCCTCCTGCAGACACGTCAGATGGGAGTAAGAGACGCTAGCTGAGGAGGCAGATGCTTCCAGATTTAGTTTTGAATGATGTCTAGGTTGGACCCTGGATTGCCTTCAGAAAGCCTAGTCCAGGGTCATTTTTAGGACTTTGTAGTCACCGATCATTCCCATTGCCTCCATGGGTGGCGCTGGACTCCAAACTGAAGACTTGCCTCAAACCCTGACTTTTGCCATTGGGAGTTGTGTGACCTTGTAGCCACGCTGTAAGCTTCCGGAGCCCTGTTTCCTCATCTGCCAATTGAGGATAATCATCTTTACCTCCCAAAGGTGTTGAGAGAAAATAGGGCAAATGACCATCTCAGGTGGTCCAAAACGACATGTTAAAGTCTCCTGTCTGGTGCTTCTCTTCAGAATGGGGTGGGGGTAGGGTGGGAAGAAGATGCTGGAATGAAGGTCTTCCCACAGATATGTCTGTCATCGGCCGGGTAATCCACCTCAAACAGAAGTCCTGACTTGTGGATGGAAACTTCCTTCCTGGATATTTTCCGGGTAGGACTGTCCGGTTCTTTGTTGAGCTTTATCAGGGCCTTTCCTGGATCCAGCAGCCCTTTGAGGTGGGATGTAGCATGACACGGGGGGTTTTGAAATGCCATTGTCAGCTCTGGAAGGAGATTAAGAACTTAAGACGTTTTCCTACGGAAATGGTACTTTCTACTGGAGCCTGCACTGAGGGCACACTTAGTCAGACCTACACTCCGAATGGCTGACCAGAGCTTGGAGACTTTGAAGAGGCAAAAACTGCCCCTTGGACTTTTTGTCCTGTTTCTTTTTGGCCTGGGAACCTTTAAATGAATTGTTGTCACAGGAAAATTCTGTCACCCTTGAGGAACCAAAGTCTTTTCTATACTTGAAAGGACCAAGGCATGCTTCTGAGTGGTAGTGTCTTTCAACACTAGAAAGATAACTAGGTTTTTATGGTGCTCTGTATGTATCCTAGAGAGGAACTGTTTTGTGTGTGGGGCTTGACAGTTGTTTCGAGTTCTGATCAACTGAATTGCTTTAGTTCCACTTGTTAGCTAGGTCAAGCCCTAGCTAGGTCTTTGAGATTTGTCATGTGCTGCTAACTTTCCATTACGGTGTCACACAGAATGTCAGTCAGCTTAAGTCACTGGTAGTCTAGAGTCTGGGATGTGAGAGGAGAAATACCTTTGAGGTGACAGAGAGCCTTTCCCGTAGGACAAGCCTAGATTGTTCGATTACAAGGTTTATTCGGAGCTGTGCTGGCCTCATGTGCAGCTCCCGAAACAAAGGGCTTCCAGAACGTCTAGCAGCAGCAGAAAGTTCTGTGGCTAGAGCAGGAATAGTTAGCGTCTGTTCCTAGACCACAGCCACATTTGCACGAACACTCTGGGGGTGTAAAAAGGTGAGGAGTCCTTGACAGTCAGCTACACCATACATACCTTTCAGCATTTTCACAGCCACCGTCCGGCATGTGGGTGACTTCTTAATGCCAAATGCAGATGCTTGGATCACTTTTCCAAAAGCTCCTCGACCCAGTGATTTTCCTAAAATGGAAAAGAAGACATTGGTTTGCATGCTAAATCAGCAGGGTGGGTTTAAGTCTTGTTCAGGAAATAAATACCTTCTCCTACGTGTGTATGAATAAAAAGGGAAGCCCTTTATGGAGATGGATTGGCCTAGTGACTGCCACAGTGGGTTTCAACAGAACAGTGGTGAAGGGGATGGTACAGGACCGGGGAGTGTTTTGTTCTGTTGTACGTAGGGTCATGATGACTTGGAACCAACTCAACGGTACCTAACAACAGGAACATGTGTGTCTGGAATTTCTAATGAACAGACCTCAAATGAGTCGAAGTCAGGGTCTCTTCCTCCCAGCTCTACTGTGTGTATGAGTCCCTCACATCCTTCACGACTAGGGCAGCCCCCAAAGGCGTTTGGTGCTGAAAGATGCCCGGCTTCCTCATTCACCAACTCCACCAATTCCTAGGGGGCATCTTCCATAGTTTCATGACATTGCTACCAAGTGTTTATTTCATCTAGATCCCTTTTCTTGCTACTGAAGTTCGTTTCTTCTGATCTGTTTTCAGCAAAGAGGAAGAAATCCAGATTGGTGGTTTCTACTGTTGGTTATAATAATAATTTATAGCTTAAAAATCATCTCTAGGACATTTCCTTCTTTGCCAGGAAAAATATCCCCCTCTCTCTAACATGTTTTTACATCATTATTATGAGACTCTTAACTACGGGTGATGATTTATTTCAACCACTGAGAGGCGCTTGCCAGAGACAGTAAACACATAGTTTCTTTCATGGTACCACGAGCCATGGCCCGTTATGTTCCACTGTTAGACGCCTAACATGTTTTTCGCCCCACCATGTCTCTTGCATGAGACAACTTGTCTTAGTGTCCCCAGGGTCTGGCATATAGAAACCCCAATGCCCCACTGCCATCAAGTTCTAGTGACCCCAGAGGTCAGAGTAGAATTGCTCCACAGGGTTTTCAAAATAGTGAGTGTTTACAGCAGCAGACTGTCTCATCTATCTCCCAAGGAGTGACTGGTGGGTTCGAACCACCGTTCTGGCAGTTAGCAGCCCAAAGCTTAATCCACGGCATCACTAGGGCTCCTGGCATATATAAAGCCCTGTGTGGGCTAATGTGTCAGACTGCAAAGTTATGGGAACTGTAAGGTCGGTGGTTCAAGCTCATCAGCTGCTCCTTGTAAACCTTATACAGGGTCGCTATGGGTCGGCATCAACTCGATGGCACTGCACCACACCAACAACGACACCTATTAATGCAGAATGAAGACTGGCAGTGTGCCACTGAGGCAGTTCTGACGCATAGTGACCACACAGGATGTTTCTGAGGCTGTAACTCTTTACGGGAGCAGAACATCTCAGGTTTCTTCTGAGGAGTCATTGGTAGCTATGAACTGGTGACCTTGTGGCTAGCTGCCCAGATCATAATCCACGACTCCACCAGGGCTCCTTGGAATAAAGTTTCCGGGGTTTGGGGATTTGTGAGATGTCTAAAGAAACCCTTCTATAGCCATAGGTAACTAGGAGGGCTCACGGCATTGGAATGTTGAGATGATGCTCTTGGAATACTTCCAAAGGGTGCTCCCTTTTCAATTGGGGAACTTCCTTTTGCAACATCAGGAAACAGGAAGCGAGATAGAACCCAGAGTGGCAGTTGCACCTTCAGCATACGACAAGAGAAAGAATGGGCCAAAAAGTCACTCTTTCTTGGCTCTTCTGAAGGAAAAGATTCAACCCAACCCAACCCAGCCCTCCGCTCATCAAAAGTAAATGTCAGCAGTTAGAGTGTTAAAGTAGCACAGACCTCCTCTGGCACTAAGCCCTCTTCCTCAGACTGGGCCTTCAGTTAATTAACCTAACTTCCTTCCTCCTTCCTCTTCCCATCTCGCCCTACAAAAGGCGGAGTTGGGTGGTTTTTTTTCTTGTAAAGTTTGTGCCAAAGCTTTCTGCTTCATCATAGTAGAGGCTTTACTTTCACAGGTAATTTGTGAGTAACAAAGGGGGTCTGGTAGCACACTGGTTAAGCGCTTGGCTGCCAACCCAAAGGTTGACGGTTGGAACCTACCAGCCGCTCCATGGGAGAATAATGTGTCAGTCTGCTCCCGTAAAAACGATACATTTGGAAACCCTCTGGGGCATTTCTACCCTGCCCTGCCGGGTCACTGTGAGTCAGAATCGACTCCAAAGCAACGGATTCGTAGGGCTCAGTAATAAAGCTGTCTTCACTCCTGCCTTGGGTTAATATCTTTCACTAACAACTGGCTCGGATACAGAGTTAGAATGCACGATGGTTTCATCCCCAGTACAGTTAGAGCAGTCTTTCGATTGCTGATAGCCACCAGATTACGGACGAGCTCTGTTCCTAAGTCTGTCTTCACATTGAACTTGTATGTCAGTTGGAAGAGTTAGGTATGGTTCCTATGTTTGTCTTAGAATGCACCTTGATACACATAAAAACATTAAAACCACATTTCCAGATACACTAGAGCATCTTTAACATAATAATACAATAATGATATAATGTTTGGGGAGCGCCATGGCTGCATAGGATAAGCACTGGACTGCAAACCACAAGGTTGGCTGTTCGAGATCACCAGCTGCTCTGTAGGAGAAAGATTGAGGCTTTCTGCTCCTGCAAAGATTTACAGCCTCAGACACTGAATATAAGGTGGCTATGGGCCAGAACCAAGTAGATGGCACTTAATAACGATTAATAACAATGTTTTCATGCACATTGCAAAGACACACCCTTGTCTTACTACTGTTAATCAGTCAAGGCTGTTCCTACTTAGTTTACTGTACAGGGTTTCCAAAGAGAGACTGGTGGGTTGGAACCACTGACCTTGCAATCAGCAGTCCAGTGTTTATCCTATAGGATAATAGGCTTTGGGGGTTGGTTCACAACTACAGGTTACACATTAGTCAGCTGTGCATTCTTAACCCCGGGGGCTGCAGGGGCATACTCTGCATTAGGAAGGGACACTGGGGAAATGACCGGGTTCCTTTTCTGGGTAACTTATAAGGCAATCTGTAAGTGTCATTGCTCCCAGTACAAACAGGAAGGACAGTAGGCTCTGCTTTCTTCACCAGGTCAAACCATCCGAGAAATGGACCAGAACGGCGACTCTTCAGTTCAAATAAAACCCTCAGGTGGACATTGAAAGTGCTGAAGGTGGAAATCAGGTCTGGGGTGCACTGGTTGACGCCATCTCCAGATTTGTAAAAATCAGTGCATTTGGTTGGAGGTTGATTCCTTGATTTTTAATTTATTTTTTAGGGTGAAACAGCAGTGCCTGTCTTCTGCTGTTCCTTCTCCCACCTACAAAGATGAGTCAAAAATTATCTGCACTCTAGTTGTAAAATTTCTTTTAATCAACTTTTAGAAAAGACAACTTTAATCTCCTTGCTTTTCAATACATTGTGTCCATCTGTCAACAAGTGTTCATTTTCCTTTATGAAAAACTATCTGAGGCTGAGCTGTAAGCCATGAATGCACTGCTGTCTTCACTTCTTCATCAGAGGGGAAACTTGGTCCTCGAAGGGCTGCTTTCAGGGAACCAAACAGGTGAAAGTCCGATGGAACAAAATCAGGACTATAGGGAGGTTTCTGTAACACCATAAAATGATGTTTTTGCAGAATGTCAACAGTGTGGGCGGAGGTGTTCGGACATGTATTTCAGGCAAGATCACAACGACCTTGGACAGCAGGCCTCTGTGTTTTATCAGTGAGCATCTCACCGTAATGAGCACTGTTGATTGTTGAACCTTTTTCCTCATGGTGTTCGAATACTAGCCCTTGAGAATCCCAGAGAACTATAAGCATCAATTTTCCAGCGGATGGTTGACTTTGGAACTTTTTCTTGGTTGGCGACTCAGGTTGTTTCCATTGCATGCTCTGCCGTTCACTCTCAGGATCGTAGTAATGAATCCATGTCTTGTAGCCAGTAATGCTTTTTTTTTTAAAGAAATCTTTACCTTCCTTTGAGTATCGACCCAAATTTTGTTTGCAGATGTCCCCATTCACACCTGCATAACAGTGACCTTGAGCAGAAAGCACTGGTAAGAGAATGCAGCCAACAGAAGTTTTAATATCACTGGAGTGCAGACATTTTCTGACTCACCCTCATAGTATAAAAGTGACCTGACCCTGAAAAATACTGCAATGATCTCTGTCTTGGGACCCCACTCCACACACTTCGGGAGGCTCTTGTTTGATTGGTTCAGAACCCTTTTCTAATCCACAACTTCAGGCCCCGCCTTGCATTCCCTCCTCAACGTCACAACAAACTGTTTTCACAGGTGTCTGGGGACTTTGTGGCTATCAGTGAGAATAAGCGGGTTCCCACTTGGCTTCCTTCAGTCTTTGCACTTAACTTTCTTGGAAGGAGACACTGGCCTCATAAAACAGCATGAGGTGATGATGTGCTTTTTATTCATCTGATGTTGCTGGAATCCTTCAGCAGAGCCTTGGTTCCAATTTCAGGGGAGCCAGGTCACGCTGGAGGTGACCTCGCCTGATCCTTTTCCCTTAAGATCCTCTTTGAGGTGGCTTAGGATGCCAGTTACCAGCTGGGGAATGGGCAAGGTCACTGTTAAACAATGAAAGGATATTGGAATCTCCTCCCAGCATGGCCATGACTGGCCAGGGTCCCTGGGACTCTCTGGGGAGAGTGTGTGGCTGGGCTTCAAAGAGGCAGGCACCATCCTCTTGCCAAATTCCAGTCTGCCTTGGTTGGGTCCCAGATTAGCTAATTCTGACTTTCAAATGAAATTATTCCTCATCAGAGCGATGACATGCCAGCCTCCTCCGGTTCTTCTATGATCATTTATAGGAGCTGAATTCTCTCCCTGGGTCACTGACAAAATCGGCTTCTTTGGTTCCTGGATTTCAGGAATTTCAACAGTAGCAGCAACACATTTGACTCAAACCTCACTGTATCCATCTCTCAGACACTAGGGATTCTGACCTCCATTTCCAGGCCTGCTGACAGCTACCAACAAAGTACATTTCTTTATATTTACAGCCCATTGTAATTCTGCTTCCTTCTCCCCACTGATCCATGCATAGTTTTGACTGCTTTTACCAGCCAGACACCATTTCAAATGACTCTGTGTCAAAACCCCCACAAGATAAGTTCTGGGCCTCTTTGCTCCCTTGGCCCTTACATCCACACCCTACATAACACGACAGTTAGTGAACCTGGACTTTATGTGGCCATCAGCCACCCTCTCTAGGGGGTAGGGGTGAAATCACAGTGTCATACTCGGGGGAGGAAAAGAATGATTTTCAACAAAATCAGTCTACCTCCATCGAGCCCCAGGGGAGTTTGGGTGTAAGGTTGACAGTCCCAGTGTGATACAGATCTCAATGACAATGGGGCAAGGAATGAGGCGACGGGATATAAAGTTCACGTGTCCTATAATGGGGGAAGCATGTTTGATAGCAACTAACAATTCTGGGGACGCCTGGTGTGCTGCTATAGGATAAGCAGTGGACTGTTAACCATAAGGTCGGAAGTTCAAACCCACCAGGTGCTCCTTGGAACCCTATACAGGGTCGCTATGTGTCCGAACTTAGCAACAACAATAACCCTGGAAAAGCAATGTGGCCTGAGAATAATCCATGGTTGGGGAAATGACCCCATGTTCTGTGTCCGAGCCACTTAGGGGCAGGGGGTATGGCTGCTGTATAGTTTAGACTTGTAGAAGGGACTCATGCTGTGTGCCACCTGCCCTTTGCTACTCCAGATTACTTGTGAATATTTCCCCATCAGCAGTCATCTCTGGCGTTCGTCTGTCCCTCCGGCTCCTACTGACACCTAGCGTTCTTCCACAAGCCAAACAGAACATACTCCTGGGGCCAAGTCACTCTCATGTAGGAAGCTACGCAACCAAATCATTTCAGGGCCCAAGACAGAGACAAGGAACACCATTCCTTACCCTTGGCCCTCTCAGCACCAGTACAGTTTGTATGTTTGTGGGGACAAGGGGAAGTGGCCAAACACACAGGCCACAAGCAAGGTCTCCACAATCTGTTTTCCTAGTTCCAAGTCCTAATGACTCTGGCATACACAGTCAGGAGTGGAAAACTTTCAGAAACTACAATCCAAATATTTTCAGCAGGGGCAATTGAGGCTCCAATTGTTCTTGTGGCACCAGAGGCTGGCCATGAATTGGCCTTGTGACGTCTGAGTTGGAGGAACTGGGGTAACCTGAGGAAAAGCACATTAGCCTGGTGTTTACAGCATCTCCGTTACCTGGAAGACACCCAACAGGCCTTGCTTTTCGAAAGCGAAGCTTAAATGACCCCTTGGAAGTTTTTTATTTGTCTAGGCATTCGAACATCCAAGGAAACTCAGACGGGGGATTTTGGGTCTGAGAGAAAAAGTGTGTGTGTGTGTATGAAAGTCTACTCAGTCAAAGATGCATCATTTTATCAATGTCGGCATGTGTAGTTAGCTCCGTGACAGCGGCTACATTCTTCAAGTGGTGTTGTCGTTCCTGCTATCTTCTTCTCCCACATGCTTTTCCCACCAGTATCTGCAACGTACTGGCCCTTAAGCTTTCCATTCCAACTCTCAAGTTATGGTTGTCAGTTTAATCTCACATAGAAAATTCTTTAAAAGAGCTCAGTGCTCAAAACAGACGTCACTACTGGCTAAGATAGCTAGTCTTATAAGGCACTGTACGATAAGCACTAGATTGTTAGCTGCAAGGTCAGTGGGTCAAATCCACCAACCACTCCTTGGAAATACTATACAAGGCCATTATGAGTTGGAACCGACTAGATGGCATGTAATAACAGCGTTCTTGGGTTCAAAGACCACAAGGTTTCAAGTTTGAAACTGATCTCGGGTTAGCAGTTTAGGGCTCATCCAGCCTCAAAGACTCCATAAAGTCTGGATTCCATAGAAAATTTGAAGTTCTGTTTATTATTTTCTCCCCTTTTGATCAGGAGTCTCCTAAAGAATCTTTGGTCAGAATGTTCAGTTATGGTTGGTGGGTACTCTCCCGGTCTTCTGGTTTCATGGCCAAGGGAACATACTGTACAGAGGGGAGGGGATTGATCCACAGCCTTGGAAAGCATCAATTCTTTCACCAAATGTATGATCTCACGTCAACACCATCCTGAACCATGTTTTGGGTGTTTAAGAGTGAACGGATAGGTAAGCCTCCTGTTTGGAACGAATCTCTCTCTCTCCTCCCCTCATCTGCTGTCTTATTCATCACACCGAACTCTTTGCGGAAAGGGACCCAAACTCCTTTGCACCCCCAGGTTTTCCCAGAAGGTTCCTCACAGCTTCTGAATGAGTGGCTAGGTGTACCCTGGTCCCTGTGCACTCTTGTTTCAGGATTCTATTAAAGATATTTGCCTGCTTGTCCCTCTGCCTTGCTAGACTGTGAGCAGCTGGTTTTGCATCCCTCAGAGCGCAGTGATTTACATGTAGGAAGTGCTCAGTGTAGGCTGACGTCTACGTTACCTAGTTTAAGTCTCTCTCGGGCAAACTCCCACTTGCTGGCATCGTAAGGAAGCCGTTCACACTGTTCATCCAGCGGAGCTTCATCTGGATCCATTACGATGGAGAAGTACTCAGTCTTTGTTTCAGAAGAAGACTAAGAAATAAAGAGAACTTCAAGTCATCCACCCGACAAACTTTGAAAACACCCGCTATCCCATATAAAACATGATTGACAACATGTGCTTTATGACATTTGGTTGAAACTGTGGTCAGGTTCAGAAAGCACTGCTCTATACCCACACGCAGATGTCACCCTTGTGCATGCAGTTTCCAGTGAACCGCTTGTCACCACACCCGCATGTCTGGAGCCTGGGCCCCATCACCCATCTCGGAGAACAGGCCTCCAAATTCTCCAGTGACACCCTTACCCAGGCTTACCCACACTTTATAGGACAGCCTTCCTCTAAAAAAATGCAAAGCATTTTTTACAAAATCATTCCAAACAGTGACTAAAAATAAGTTTCTATGACTATTCTGCACAAATAGGACTAGGCATAGCAGATGCCACCGCCACCACGCCACAACCCACTGCCCGGGCTGTAGCTCTCACATTCACAGGGAAGAAGGTCAAGGGGGGCAAAGTTGGCTCCAGACCCTGGGAGAGAGTGAGGCACGTTTCCTACCAAGTGTTTAAAGTCGTTCAAAAACCCTGATTTCTTAGTTCTCATCGCTGCTGAGTGCCGTCACTAGCAGCGGCCCTGTAGAAGATTTCTGAGGCGTGGTTGATGGGTTTGAACCACCAACCTTGCAGTTCAAACAGACTTTGTGGTCTAGTGCTTATCCTACAGCACCACACCAGGACTCTCTGTAATTCCTGTTGTTGTTAAGTGCCGTCGAGTTGTTTCTGACTCACAACAAACCTGTATAGGGTTTCTAAGGATCAGCTGGTAGGTTTGAACTGCCAACCTTGTGGCAGTCCAGTGCTGAGCCTATAGAGCCACACCCAGTTACCTAAAAAGATGGTGGGGCCCAACAGTAAGATGAGAATAAAGTGTACCTTCCAAGTGACTTGTTTCAAAAGCCAACGCATGGTAAATACCAGGGAGCTTCAAAAAGCTTGAGGAAAAATCCCATTATTTCCATTCCATTCATCCATGAACTTTTTAAAGCCCACTCACGGGATACAAGATTCAGACAGAGCCACATTCTGAGTTTGTCTGGCCACTGGTGTCATAACAAAGCATCTGCCTTGAAGTCCTTGAGGTGAACTTATTATACCAATCGAGTCTGGAAAAGACCATTTACTTCCGCTCACAGACAGCTGGACTAACATTTAGTGTCTTGGATTCCTCTCAATGGGTGTCCTCCCTTTGGTGAAATGTTCATTTCCTGCCTGCATCTCCATGGGCATAATCTTACTCAGGACAGAAACGAAGCAGGTTTGCACAGTCGGTGGACTGGGCTAGCTCTGGCCTAAGAGTTTTGTCACCGCCATTGAGTATCTTCTGGGATGTTTCCTTGCACTGCTTTTCCCTCAGAGTCTGAGGTAAGACGACAAGCTTCCCACAGACACCATCTCACACCCACCACATTCCTCAGCCCTTACCCTGCACTGGGTTGTCATGGCCCACCTCATCCATCACTTACGATCATTCCCTGTCACACAAAAATGATCACTTGGTGTGACAAATAGCTCTAGGCAGAAAGGCTGGCCTGGCCTCCACAGAAGGGGAGAGCCGGGGGAGACAGGGAGCACGTTTGTCACGAACTAGTCTGCCAAGCGCTCGTGTGAGTTTGTAAGTCTGTACAAGAGCGCTTCAAAAAGTTTGTGGAATCCAGAAACAGAGGGCCCTAGGGCCATCAAGGGAGAAGAGCACAAGCGGAATGTGGGACCCTACCCAGAGAAGCAGCAACACCAGAGATGGAGGCAGAGCTGGGGACATGGAGAGAGGGAGCAGCTGAGGACTATGGACTCACAGAAAGAGGGACTGAGTGTTGGTGGCCAGGAGGCAGGCTTGCAGAATGTTTTGATGTTTAAATGATTATATATTCCTGAGTGTGTTTGTGTACATCCCCCCACTTCCACTTCCAAAAAAAGAAAGAAAAGAAAAACAGAGGGCAGCAAATACTGTTGAATGATGATGTACGGAGGAGACTGTAATCATTGCAATGAAACAATGGGGTAAAGCCGATGTTCTCCCATGTAAACTATCACTCAGTTCCCAATAAAAACTTAGAAAAAAAAAAAGAAAGTCCGTAGAAAAATGTCATCTTTTTGAAGTCCCTTCACAGAGGAGGGTTTCTGTAACAGGGTGGGGGCTTCTATCAGAGAAGCTGCTGGAATCCCTTTGAAGACTCAGTGATTCAGTGTCCAGTAGATCTGCGGTCCCACAAAACGCTCTCTCATCCCCAAAGAGCCAAGCGAGGGCCCTGTTGGTTTTTTGCAGGGTTTGTGGGGGGTTGGCAGTGCGTGGATGGGATGAAGGCAGTGGGGTGGGCAATGGGAGATGGTCTCCTCTGAAACTTTGTGGCTTATCTCAAATGAGACTAAACGTTTAGCCATGACGCCTTAAGCAAGGACTTAGAGGACAGGATGATAGCAGGATCTTGGTCAGCAATTCTTTCGATTGATACTATCACTGAGCAGCTTCTAGATGCTTTGCCTGGAGCCCAGCTTGTTAAATGTTTGAGCGTCTAGGCCCGGTGACTGTATATGAGTCATAGCCCATTGCCTTTGAGTGGATTCCACCTCACAATGACATGATACAGGACTTCTGAGATAGTAAATCTTTACGGGAGCAGACAGCCTCCTCTTTCTCCTGGAGAGCAGCTGGTGGGTTTGAACTGTCGACTTTATGGTTAGCAGTCCACTGCAGATCCCACAGTGCCAGCAGGTCTCCTTATCTATAGCACAGTGGTAAGGATGGTGTTTACAGGGTTACTGTGAGGACCAAGTGATAGGAGCCTTTTAAAGCTGTCAGCGTAGGACCTGGTGTATTGTCAGCATCCGTAACTATGGGCTCAGATGCTAACAGTGTTTATCAACAAAGGATTCTCACTGTTGTTAGTGAAACCACGTGGACTGATGTTTTTTGAGGCTTTGCTCCTCTTGCCTCCCCTGACCAAATCCCTTGTCAAGTTTTAAAGGCATTCTGTTGTTAATATTAGGTGCCGTCAAGTTGTTTCTGACTCAGCAACCCCTGTGCACAGCAGAACAAAGCTCCACCCGGTTCTGCATCATCCTCACAATCACTGCTACACTGGGCTCCATCGCTGCCACCGCTGTGTTAATCCTTACGTTCATCTTTTCTTATTGGCTGCAAACTTTCCAAAGATTTTTAGAAAGGACCCTATCAATTGAGCCACAAATTGCCTATCCTATTTTATTTCCAAAAGGAGTCCTGGTGACGCAGTGAGTAAATGCTCAGCTGCTCACCATAAGGTCAGTGGTTCAAATCCATCGGCTGCCACACAGGTGAAAAGACGCGCCACCACATTAAAGTCTCTCTTCGGTTCTTGGCCAGACGCAGTCTCCTAAAAAGGTGGCTGGTGGACCTACTGTCTTGGTGCAATGACTCTGTATCCCTTCCATTTTCTTTTGATGCTTCCTGTGTCATGCAATGTTCTGCCTGTTGTTAAGTGCCATCGAGTCGGTTCCAACCCACAGCGACCTTATATAGGGTTTCCGAGGAGCGGCTGGTGAGCTTGAACCACCGACCTGGCAGTTCAAACGGCTTTGCAGTCTGGTGCATTTACCCACAAGGCTCCCTGTTTTGCCTGTAGGATCCTTCAACATTGTTACCCAAGGCTTCCCCTGCAGTTAGCAGTCAAGTGCTTATTCTACAGATCCACACCAGAACCCCATTGTTTCCCCAGAGAATCCTCCAATATTGCAACCTGAGGCTTTCCTTGGTAGCCACATCTCATCCCTTCTTTCCCTTGATGCCTCACTGTGGACACACTGACCTCTGGTCAGTCTCTGCCCTCACTCAGCCCCCTTTGCCCACCTCAGTCTGACAGATGCCATTCCCTCTGCCTACAGCATTTCTCCCTTTCTTCTTCGCCAGGCTGTTCCTCTTAGGCATTTTCTAGTCAGCTACCTCAGAGCTGCCATTGAACATTTATCTGTGTGACTGCACACTCCTCCGTCAGTTCTCCATGTCACCTTGGGACTCGGCCGGGCACAGGCAGACAGTCAACACTGAAGGGTGCATGAGTGAATGGGGGGGGATGCTAGCTCTTTTGCCCCCTGCCCACCAGAGCCGCAGGCCATGGTGCTGGCCTGTTGATATACATCTGACCCCTCTAATCCCAGCCTGAACCTCACCCACTAAAGAACTGGACTTTATCATGAAACGCTGCATAAAACAGCAAAATAGAATCCATGTGTTTGTTTATCCCGAAGCCTCAGTAGTAGGTTAGACCAAGAACAAGTGGAACATTCTAGAAGTGAGGATGTGGACCATATGATGAGCTGCTGAACTCTCAGACTGATTCTAGGAAGTAGAGAGTATGAGGACTTCATCTTGGGGACTCTTTGTTTCAATTCAATAAAGACGTAATGCATCTCTGTTGCAGGAGGAATTCACTGTGGACATCAGATGGATCTTGGCTGAAGCAGAGAATACTGGAAAGATGTTTGTTGTTGTTATTTTGAACCACAAGGTCAGAGGTTCAAATTCACCAGCCACTCCTTGGAAACCCTACACAGGGTTGCTATGGGTCAGAACCATCTCAACAACATATGTCTATCTATCTATCTATCTATCTATCTATCTATCTATCTATCTATCTA